CTTCCTTCCTTCCTTCCTTCCTTTTTCTCCTTCCTTCTTTTCTTTTTCTTTCTCCCATCCATTTCCTCCCTCCCTCCCTCCCGATCCAAAGGGAAAAATGTGAGCAGAGAAAGGTGTTGGAGTTTCCTCTTCTTTCTCTTTTCTTTTAGGCTGAGATTGTCAAGCGGCTGACTGCTATCTGTGCCCAGATTGTCCCCTTTCTCACGCAAGAGGTAAAAAAATAAAAGTGGGTAGGAAAAAAGCGAGGTTTGGCTTTCAAACGTCTTCTTAAAAGGGATGAGGGATCCCTTGGATGGTTGGATTTAAATCGAGCCTGGACAGCTGTCTCTTGGAAATGCCGTAGATGGTCTCTGAGACACCTGTTCTGCCTTCCCCTCCTGTGGCGCTGGGGTCAAGAGAATGGCAAGGATTTTGGCTGCAGGTGGGGAAGACATTTTTCACTGGTCGCAGTTGCTCAGTGAGGAAATCTCCAGCGTTGGCAGCCGTCTATTAGAAACGGTATATGGAGCCCATTTTCTGAATTGGCAGGAAGGTTGGGCTAGATGATCTCTGAGTTCCTATCCAGCCATATCATTGTAAGACATGGAAGCCTTTCTCTTCCCATCCTCACTGGCCTTTCTCTTTCACCTACCTAGCACCTTCCAGTTGGTCTGGGACTACGACTCCCAGAAGGCCGTGCTGCTTGGGAATTCTGGGCATTTATTACTGCAATTTTTAGGCCACCTGTTCACTAGATTCCTACGTATTTGGGAGCCACCACGTTGGGAGGGTTTCTGCGCATTTGCTTGGAGTCACGTGTTTAGTGGTCAGGAACCCGCTTTGCATCTGTCATTATCTGTGGCTCATTTCATTTCATTTCATTTCATTTCATTTCATTTCATTTCATTGTGAAAATGTATATGGCTGCCCATCTTAAAGAGGTACCTCTGGGCATCGAACAACCAATACACAAGAAAAAAATACGATAGAGCCTCTATAAGCAAAATGAAAAATTCAGTTAAAAAATAATCCTCATACAGTAGCTAACTTAGGACACACAGGTAGAATGGAGGTTGCCGAAGACGGTGCTGAGCTCACACAGCCAGGGGTCTAGATAAGGCACCTTCGCACGTTTGCATTTGTTCACAGCCATGAGGGCTAGAACCTTGCTCCGTTTTTAAGGGTGGGGTGTACTTGGAGCGCAGAGAGGAAGCCAAGTACTGAAGCTTTGCATGGGAGGCTCCTGGCATTCTTTCCTGGGGTTCCTGGTAAGGCTGGAAAAGCCACCTTTTAATCCATCGTTTCCAGTCATGGCAGCTAGACCCTTTGGTCGTGCATAAGAGCGGGCTTGCTGGCCTGGAGCTCTGCCTTGTTTTGCGGGTCTCGGATAGGAATCTTCGAAATGCGCTGACGCACTTTTCCTTGGCCTCCAGCATCAACAGCAGGTCTTGCAAGCCATGGACCGGGCCAAGCTGGTGACCATGGGGGAGCTGAACAGCATCATTGGGGTGAGTGGGGCCAGGGCCAAGCCCTTTCCTGGGGGAGGCACTCCGGGATGGCTCTGAGGCTCAGGGAGCTGGGCGGCGGTGACAGCTGCTGCTTGATGCAGGAGGCACGGGACTTCCACGGTTCACTAGTACTAATTGCCCACAGCAGTGTTTCTCAGTCTCAGCAACTTTAAGATGGGTGGACTTCAACTGCCAGAATTCCCCTGCCAGCATGGCTGGCTGGGGAATTCTGGGAGTTGGTCCACCCATCTTAAAGCATGTATTCTGGGAGTTGAAGTCCACCCATCTTAAGGCATGCTGGCTGGGGAATTCTGGGAGTTGGTCCACCCATCTTAAGGCATGCTGACTAGGGAATTCTGGGAGTTGAAGTCCACCCATCTTAAAGCATGTATTCTGGGAGTTGAAGTCCACCCATCTTAAGGCATGCTGGCTGGGGAATTCTGGGAGTTGGTCCACCCATCTTAAAGCATGTATTTTGGGAGTTGAAGTCCACCCATCTTAAGGCATGCTGGCTGGGGAATTCTGGGAGTTGGTCCACCCATCTTAAGGCATGCTGACTAGGGAATTCTGGGAGTTGAAGTCCACCCATCTTAAAGCATGTATTCTGGGAGTTGAAGTC